AAAAAAAGGTATTCAAAACGTTGGGATGGAAATAATATGATTTGTGTACACCTAATTTTCACGGTCATTTATTATCTAAATACAAGGACTGCCATTTTCCTTCATTTCTGTCTTTCACCCCTTGCTGAAATCAACTGGGTGATAGTTCCATCAAGAGTTTCTCTTTTCCTCATCCTTGACCATGGGTCACTATCAACCTTTTCACCCTGATCACTTGCATCATCTGACTGGCATTTCTCCCCCTCAAGTTAATACTCTTTGCTACGACCTCCTGGGACCAACCTTCAGGGAGGGTCAGAGTGGGGGAAGGGTGTATACTTAGCCTTGAAACCAGCCTTTCAATCCCTGGTCGCCAGAAATATTTGCTAAAAATTTCATTTCCCAACACCAGGGGGTGTCTCTCCCTCTCCTGCCCTTAAGGTAGCGATGGGGGCCAAACCTTTTCCTCTCTGGTTTACGTACACAATAAATCGCCCTCCGTCCCTCTCGCAGCAGGGATCAGTCCCAAACCTTTTCCTCGCTCCTTCTCACTGCTTGTACAAGCACATAAATCTTCCTCCGTCTCTCTCCACTATCACAGAGCTGTGGGTCCAGAAAGTGCTATTTATTGCGTGTCTGTCAAGCTGTCGAGACTAATTTGCCCTTTCCCTCGTCTACGCGTTCGCTGGCTTCTCCATCTTCCACACCTCTCTCTGCCCTGGATCTTCCTTTCGCGACCCGTCTTATACCTAGATGCGGTTCCTCTCCTTTCAGAGCTACCTCCAAGGGGGGGTCTCTCAATCTCTTCTCTCTGCACCTTTCTTCTTTTTCCCTGGCTTCCTCTTTATGCCTCTCCCTCATCATCACTTCTGCACCACGTTTCACAATCTCCCCACAGTCCTCACACTAGGAACAAAGTCGCGGTATTTGCACAGAACATGCCCGGGTCGCCCCGTCGCAGAACGCGACATGCCACGGTGCACCTCCGCGCATTCCAACTCTAAACAAAGAGTGCCCTTCACTCTGCCCCTGCACCCTCTCCGGTTCCAACTCCCGAATCTTGCGGCCACAGTTGCCCAATCTGCCCCTTGACCTCCTTCCACCTGCATCCGGCGGACCTCCACCTCCAGGGCAACGAGCCCCACTGCTCCCCTGCGACGCACAGGAGATCCTTGCGCGGACACCCCCCAACCCTCGGGTGCACAGCTCGCTCCGCCCTTCCCGGAAAGTAGATCCGGCCAGGCAGACAAAAGTTTGGAGAAGTTCGGCTCGAGCCGAGTGTGAGAGTAAGGGGGGCGGGGGCCGCAGCTGGCGGGCTGGTCGACGCGCGAACAGACCTGCGGACCGGACAGCTGCGGTGCAGGCCCTCCCAGCCCCGCCAGCCCCAGATGCGTGGGGGACCTTGGCCCATCCCGCTGGGGGATGCTGCGAGATGACGAGCGCCGGGCACCTGGGCCGTCCGCTGAGCCCCTCGGCATAGCCCGTGCCCCCGGGGCACCCGAGCCCGGACCGAGAGGCGGCCGCGGAGGCGCTGCGGGGTGCTGGCCGGGGAAGGGGCTGCAGGCTCCAGACCCGTGGGCATGGAGCGGTTAGGGGAGAAGGCCAGTCGCCTGCTAGAGAAGTTAAGAATCTCGGACTCCGGCAGCGCCAAGTTTGGCCGCAGAAAGGGTGAAGCTAGCAGGTCTGGGTCTGACGGCACCCCTGGGTCAGGCAAAGGGCGCCAAGGTGGGTTGGGGGCACCCCGGAAATCCGGACACCGAGGAGCTGCTGGGGGTCCTGGGGATGAGCCGCTGGAGCCGGCCCGGGAGCCGGGCGCCCTGGACGCCGAGCGGAACGCACGCGGCTCCTTTGAAGCGCAGCGCTTCGACGGGCCCTTTTCCGGGGGGCCACCGCCCCCCCGAGTCCTGCCTCTACCTCAGTCCCTACCTCCCGATTTCCGGCTGGAGACCACCGCCCCGGCCCTCAGCCCTCGCTCCAGCTTCGCCAGTAGCTCCGCCAGCGACGCGAGCAAGCCGTCCAGCCCCCGGGGTAGCCTGCTGCTGGACGGGGCAGGGGCCGGCGGGGCCGCGGGGAGCCGGCCGTGCAGCAATCGGACCAGCGGCATCAGCATGGGTTACGACCAGCGCCACGGGAGCCCGCTGCCCGCCGGACCGTGCCTGTTCGGCCTACCCCTCAGTGGGGCTCCAGCGGGCTACTCCTCCGGAGGGGTTCCGTCCGCCTACCCCGAGCTCCACGCCGCCCTGGACCGCCTGCGTGGGCCCGCGGGGTTCGGCTGCCAGGAGAGCCGCCACTCGTACCCCCCGGCCTTGGGCAGCCCTGGGACTCTGGCCGGGGCCGTAGTGGGAACCGCGGGGCCTCTGGAGAGACGCGGGGCGCAACCCGGACGACACTCGGTCACCGGCTACGGGGACTGCGCCGCGGGGGCCCGTTACCAGGATGAGCTAAGCGCACTGCTGCGCCTGGCAGTGGGTACCGGTGGGCGAGACGCCGGCGCCCGCGGGGAACCCTCGGGGATCGAGCCCTCGGCCCTGGAGGAGTCTCCAGGTCCTTTCGTTCCGGAGGCCTCGCGAGCCCGGATGCGGGAGCCAGAGAACCGAGAAGACTACTTCGGTGAGTAAGAGAAGACCTAGGGACCGGTCCACGCATCCGGCCCACTGGGGCCCCGACGGCCCAAATTGCCTGCGACCCGGGCTCGGAGGCTGCGATCCCGGACTAGCAAAGAGGCCGGATGGATGGAAGAGGGCGGACCCCAGAGCACTTGCACTCATCCTGCCGGGTTTCTAATGGGGCATCCCTGACAAATTCAGCTCCCCCTGATTATCTCCTGAGTCGCATTTTCTCTAGCGTTAGGGCGCCTGGGCTTTTTCGCAGTAGGAGGCCTTGTTGGGAGACACCGCGGTGGGGCCGTAGGAGCATCCTCCCCCACCTTGCTCCCCCCCCCTTTCGGCGGTGCCCCGGCAGGCTTCGGCGTGCCGCGCCCCCACCCGTCTAGGCTCCGCCCGCAGGAATTCGGGGAATGTGAGGGGGGCGGGGCAGGCTGCCGAGTGCGTGCCGACTCCTGCCCTGGCGCTCCAGGTGCCGGCTGCCGACGCCCGCTGGGCTGAGGGGTGCGGTGCTTGCGCCCGTTGGGGGATGTTTGCTAGCTCCCTCAACCGTGGCTGCTTGGAGGGGGTGAGGGGGAAAGAGCCTGGGGAGGAAGAAAATAGGGATTCTCCTGCTGCCCAGCCCTGCTCGCAAGGTGTGCCAGTGGCCCGATGAGCCATGACCACCAGGAGACCATTACACTTGGATAGATTCAGACACCATGTGACCACCAAAAGTAACCTGGCCGTGAGTCCTGGCCATAACCTGCTGGGCATTCAGGCAGGAGTAGACCCCTTTCTTCCTGCTACTGTTGAAACCTGGCCACCGCCTCCTTCCAGCACTCTTCAAGAAGTACTGATTTTATGTTTCAGCTAGGAGGTGAGGTGTTAAAACCCATAGGCATTACTTCATTATAAAGCAGTTGTGATCTGAGTTTGGGGGACTCACCCCCTAGAATTGTGGGCCTCCATGTTCCTGCCCTGGCCCTCATGGTTAGAAGTAGGAATAGAGGGAGGAAACCAAAGAGAGGTCGGGAAGAAAATTCAGAGGTTAACAGACTGGAAAGGGCCTGAGAGTTCAAATCCCACCTCAGCCTCACATTAGCCCCCCCATATTTTCACCTATCCTGAAGAAAGCCCAGAGCAGATAATGCTCAATCACCTTGATCGAGGGAAACAGTGACAGGTCCATTTAGCAAGGTCCTTTTGAGGCCCAGTAAAGAGCTGGGAAAGAAGTCTCAGTTGGCTATACCATCAGAGCCAAAAGGAAGAAAGGGACTCCGAGAGAAAAGCGCAATAAAATGGCAGGAAGAAGCTAGGTGTGGATATTCTGGTTGAGAGGTGGACAAACATGCAGGAGCAACTGCCTCTTGTCTCCATAATATCCAAGGCTTCCCACAGAACACCTCTGACCGGACCACCTGGCATGGCAGTCTTGGGCAGATTTCCATGGCTATGGACCTCAGAGTTGGAGGGCTTCTTGGGCTCAGATTGCCTCCCCTGACAACAGCAGACCCCTGTGCCCTCGCCTGACCCTTTTACTGTTTAGGGGCCCTCTTCCTCAGCTTCAGCCTTGCCCAGCTGCCAGAGGGTGGGAGCAGGACAGGCCTGGGCCCATCAGTTGCTGCAGCTGCTGCACCAGCTCCCAAAGCCCTGGGCGAAGACTGGGATGGGCCCCAACAGGCAGGGAGTGTGGCAGTGTGCCGAGGGGGAAAGGTGGGGCAGGCCCGTTGGGATCTGCTCCCCAAAGACAGGCCCTATACCTCAGTCATGGGCCTGGAATTGGGGAGTGGAGGCAAGGAAGAACACACCCAGGAGAGGCTGGTTCCAGAGCCAGGTGTATGTGTCTCGGTGAGGGATGCTGGGAGAGCTAAGCTCTGTGCCTATCCTATGTGACCAGGGCAAGCAGGGAGGCCGTAGGGTTCTGATACCCTTCTGGGAATCCTTTACAGTTGAATCTCAACCTGTGTTCTTAGCAGTCACTTTCCCCAAGGAGTGCTCACATGGCCCTCTGCTGAGCCAGATCCAATTTTGTAGATGGCAAAGCTGAAGTCCCAGAGACGTCTTGTGGGTCTGGCTTGCTTTCTCTGAGCCCCTGGGTACCGGCATCTCCCACAGTTTGTCTCACAGTTTAAGACTTTACATTTTTATTTTATGTGTATGAGTGTTTTGTTTGCCTTCATGAGTGCACCTCTTGCATGCAGGAGCCCTTGGAGGCCAGAAGAGGGTGTCGGATCCCCTGGAACTGGAGTTACAGTTGGTTGTGATCTGCCTTGTGGGTGCTGGGAACTGTACCCAGATCCTCTCTAAGAGCAGCAAAGTGCTCTTAACTGCTGAGCCATCTCTCCAGCTCACAATTTTTTTTTTTTTTTTGGTATTAGATATTATACTAGGCACAAGGTAGGTGTTTAGAAAATATATGTTAATCAAGTAAACCAGAATGGATCTACCTAGCCAACCTCTTGCTAGATCCCATTTCCCTGCTATGTGCCCAAAGTAGCCTTGAACTTCTGATCCTCTTGTTGGTTTATAGGTGTTCACTACCACACCCATTTATGTGGTGCTAGGGGTAGAACCCAAGGCTTCAAATGTGTTAGGCAAACATTCTACCAGCTGGACTACATCACCAGCCCACTGCATCCATTTCTTGTCAGAACGGAACCCATTAAGGGAAGCTATGTTCCTTTGGCACATCAGCCAAGCACAGTCAGGAAAACTTGGGGATCCTTGGATTTGAGCTGGGGAAGTGGGATGTGATGCTGACCAACTCTCCTTTCCTCTCAGGCACCTGTATCAAGTGCAACAAAGGCATCTATGGGCAGAGCAATGCCTGCCAGGCCCTAGACAGCCTCTACCACACCCAGTGCTTTGTCTGTTGCTCCTGTGGTGAGTGCACCTGCCAGTCAAACCCCCTTCACTCCTCCCACGCCCAGCCAGACACTTTGATAAGTGCTGTGGGGAATCTGAGGAAAGCTGTGTGTCTTCATTTGCCTCATAGAGCATCTGTGGGGTCCCCACAAAGTATCTGAAAGCCACTGCCCCACCTTCTGTCCCGCTTCCTTGTCTGGGTGCTACCTGGCCATCCTCCCCACTGCGCCTCTGCTTGAGGAGTCCATCCTCCCTGCCTTGTTCAGCCTCCTTGCTCTTCTCTGATCCTCCCTCTTTCTTCTGCCTTCCTGCTGGCCCAGCCTGGACTCCCGCCCAGCCTCTCCTTGGTGGGGTTTGGTCTCGGGCAGCAGAGTTGCCTGGGGCGACAGTGAAAGACTGGAATGTGGGAAGGGCGGGTGTGGGCTGGGGGAGTGGGGAGCTGTGGAGGGGTGGGTAGGGGGGTTTTCTCTCGGCTGGTCAGAGTTCAGCCACCTCACTACAGTGGAGGCCACCGGGCCATGCCAAGCTGATGACATCACACTCCAGGAATGCCTGCTGCTGTTAACTCAGGAGGCCCTCTGTGGGGGTGCTCCCTGTGGCCTTAACTCCCCCCACCACACCCTCCCTCACCTCTCATTATCCCTTCACCACTGCTTACCCATTCTGATTCTTTTGCTAAACCTTTAATCTCCTATCTCTGCCTGTCTGACTCCAGCTTTTCTCTCACTCCCCCAGCTTCTGCCTGGATCTCTCTGGGCTGATCTGGCTCTCCTTTTCACAGGGCCTCTTCTGGGTATGTCCTTTCTTTTTCTCTCCTGTCATGAATTTCTATGTCAGTTTTTCTGAACTCCTGAACAGAACTGGATGTAGAGATTTTGATGGGAAGAAGGCAAAAAAAAGGGAGACTTTCCCATTCTTCCCCCTGTTCTTACTCCCTCATCCTTGACCATTTAGACACTGGAGTCCTTTTGTGGATGTTGGGCCATAGGGAAATGGTCCTGCCATGTAGGCTTGCCAAAATCCCAGGCTGCCTCTGACCTTGAAGACTGAGGCCCTCCAAACTCCCAGACAAAGCACTTGGTCCCCCAAAGTAACTCCAATATGTCCTGACCACTAAGAGGCTGGAGCCAGATGGGGCTGTGAGAGCCAGGATAGCTATGCTCACAGGCAGAGAGACTGCTAGGTTGAAGGGCCCCAGGGGACAAGGCCTGTGGCAGTGCAAATTGTGTAACATGTAGATCTGAGCCTCTTACCAGGTACCCCAGCTTGCCATTGGCTTGGCGCCTCCAGGTCTCTCCAGGTGCACTAGGCCTGAAAAGGACCAGGTGGCAGACAGCTGTTGAAGACACAGGAGCTAGAGGAGCAGTGAGCAGGAGAGAGGTTGCTTGGTTGGAATGAGGCCAAAGCAGGGTTTTATCCTTTTTCTTTTCATTGAGGGTCTTATTATGTAGGCCAAGCTGGCCTCAAACTCTTGATCCTCCTGCCTCAGTCTCCACATGTAGCTGAGATGGGATTTTTGTATGGGGAAGAACAGACAGAGGCTAGCAAGAAAAGCTTTTAAGGTCCAGGTTTAAATGTGCAATTTGGGGAGCAGAAACCAGTGAGAACAGCCCTGCCTCTGGGCTCCAAGATGGCGTCCAACCGCTTCTCTGCTGCTTCTAGGGCGAACTTTGCGCTGCAAGGCTTTCTACAGTGTCAACGGCTCTGTCTACTGTGAGGAGGATTATCTGGTGAGTGAGTAGCCCTTGCACCTAGAATTGGCTCTCTGCTGGGACGCTGGTGGCCAGCTGGAGTTCCAGCCTTCTCAGCTTGTTAACAGCCTCCTTTCGTCTCTAGTTTTCAGGGTTTCAGGAGGCAGCTGAGAAATGCTGTGTCTGTGGTCACCTGATTTTAGAGAAGGTAAGGAATGGCCTTAAGCAGAGACTTTGATGCCAGGGCCTGAGGGGCAGAACCAGGGGCTGAGCCGATACTGAAGAAGGCTGGGAGGGAACCTATCCCCAGATGAATGAGGTTCTTGCTATTCTTCCAGTGTTCTCCCTCTGCTTGTGAGAAGTCTGTGATCCTAGTCTTTGCCCTCCTGGGCTTCTGTGATCTGTCCCCTTTCTGACTATGGAGGCACAGCCAGGCCCTCCAGCTCGAGCTAGGTTTGAAAGGTCCTAGCTCTTAGTCACTTTTCTGCTACTGGTTGCGATCAGTTGGAACTCGATTTTCTTTTCTGTAAAAAGAAGGAATTGTGGATTCAATCACACAGGGATTAGATCAGTGACTCTTAACCCTGGCAGCTTGGCAGAGAGCTGGGAAGAATTGGAAAAATTACAGTTCTGGTACCCGTCACTTGAGTTGTAATAAAAAGTTAGGTGTGGGGGGCAAGGGCGATACAGTTGATCTTGTCTCAGAAAAAAAAAGAAAAAAGAGGAGACTCAGGCATTGGTTTCTTTCCCTCTCTCCCTCCCTCTCTTCTTCCTTCCCTTCCTTCTTTCTGGTCTGGAACTCTTGATTTTCCTTCCTCAGCTACCTGAGAGCTGGGATTGCAAGTACAGCTGCTAAAATGATCTAAAGTAGCCAGGGTTTTTTTTTCTGCGCACCTATAATTCCAGCACTTGGGAGGTGAAGGCAGAGGAATTAGAAGTTCAAAGTTATTCTCGGCCGCACAGCCAGCTCAAGGCCAGCCTCGCCTGTGTAACACCGTCTCAAAAAAAGAAAGAAGGAAGGAAGGAAGGAAGGAAGGAAGGAAGGAAGGAAGGAAGGAAGGAAGGAAGGTAAAGCAGCAAAACATTTAATGATTTAATTATGTAAATGGAAATATATGTTTTGACTTCCTTAATCAATTAAGGAATTCCAACATGTCTCACCAAAGGATAACTTGTTTAAAATATTTATGGGGGCTGGAGAGATGGCTCAGTGGTTAAGAGCACTGGCTACTCTTGAAGAAGACCTGGGTTTTGTTTCCAGCACCCACCTTAATTCCAGTTTCAGATGATCCAATACCCTCTTCCACAGAATACTCCTACACATAAAATTTAAAATTTTTTTAAAAGGAAAGAAAGAAAGAACGAAAGAAGTAAAAAGAAAGAAAGGAAAGAAAGAAAGAAAGAAAGAAAGAAAGAAAGAAAGAAAGAAAGAAAAGGAAAGAAAGGAAAGAAAGAAAGAAAAAGGAATTACGCAAGGGTCTGGAAGGTTTCTAAGACCTTTTTGAGATTTTCTGCCTGAAGACTCCTTGGTCTCCTCAAATTCTGTAGCATTCTTCTAGCTGGACAGGAGGGGTTTGGAAAGGGACATGATGGGTAGCTAGATTGACTAAAAGACTGATCCTCCTCCCACTCCATGCCAGATCCTACAGGCAATGGGGAAGTCTTATCACCCAGGCTGCTTCCGATGCATCGTTTGTAACAAGTGCCTGGATGGTGTCCCCTTCACAGTGGACTTCTCCAATCAGGTGTATTGTGTCACTGACTACCACAAGTGAGTCCAACCTGGGGGCAGGGGGTACAATGTGGAACTGAGTCTGGGGACTCCCCAGCCTCAGCTCATCACTGTCTCCTCTCTTAGAAATTATGCCCCTAAATGTGCAGCCTGTGGACAACCCATCCTCCCTTCAGAGGTCAGTGTGTCTGAGTTCTGCAGGGCAGCTAGTGCTGCTGCCTCTGGGGAGGGAATGGGGAACATGGAGCCTGGCCTCCCTTGGGAAGTGGTGATGCTGAGGAATGTACATTCTATAAAGATTCCCGTGTGACTCTGCTCTTGGGGTCACCACTCTGACCCAAACATCCGGGCTCCCTATCTTCTGTTTCAGTCCAGAGAAGGAGGCTCTCTTAAAGGTCATGGTCACCAGATCCCAAATATATAGGGACTGGGAAAAGGTGAAGGAACCCTCAAGCCAGTAAAAGAATCAAAAATGATTTAAGAGGGTATGCCTAGGGAGAAAAACTGAAAGCCAGTGAGGCATCCCCTACTGGGTCACCTTGTTCAGCCTGCCCGCCCCTACCCCTTTTCCCCATCCTCTGCTTCCCCCACACCTGGGAGCGGCAGGTCAAGCCAGCCCCTCTGTACAGAGGGAGAGCTGCATAAATGGGGGCATGCCTTCCTGGAACTGCCACACATCTCAGAGCTACATGTGATTGTATCTGACGGCAGTGGAGAGGCCTTTGTGTGGGCTTCCTGTTATAGCTGGAGGATTCCTGGGGGGATGGGATAGGGAGTTGGGGATACCATGCTGTGCTCATCCCCATGGGGGTATGCATGTTTCAGGGCTGTGAGGACATTGTGAGGGTGATATCCATGGACCGTGATTATCACTTTGAGTGCTACCACTGTGAGGTAAGTGTTGGGGTCCAGGGCTGATGGAGGAGAGTTGGAATTTGGGAGGGGGAAGTCCGTCCTAGAATAACCATGCATCTGTGGGAGTCATGTAGGATACAAAACAGGAAGGCTCCGTGACCTATGTGCAGTCTCTCAGTCTCTTGTCCTCTGGCTACTCTTCGTGGCCCTAGTTGTTTAGGCCTTTCTGAATCTGGCATGCCCTGAATCATGACTCCTCAAATAGATAGACAAGAGATTCCTGGTAACTGCTACAAATGGGGCTTGTCTCAATATTTCTGCTGCAGCAGCGCCACCTGGTGTCCAGAAAAAGTATTTTTTATCAGATTTTCACCCTTTTATCCTTCACCCTCCCCACCTTGCAACCCATCCTCCAGTCATTGGGATTCTGGTATTGAGCATAACAGACTCCCAAGATGTCCTCCTGTGTTGGGGGCCTGGGCTGAAGTGAACTAGCTTCTCTCTTCCCTAGGATTGTCGCATGCAGCTGAGTGATGAGGAAGGTTGCTGCTGTTTTCCTCTTGATGGACACTTGCTCTGCCACGGCTGTCACATGCAGCGACTCAATGCCCGACAGCCTCCTACCAACTACATGTGAGCTGTAGTCACTGCTGCTGCCATCACCGCTGTTGGGAAATTCCTCAGGCCAGCCTGAGGCAAGGCGTGCACTCTGCAGTCCTTGTGAAGGGTCCTCTGGGGAGGCCCCAAAGGCCAGAGACCCAAAGACCCTAACATTCCAAATGGACTGTGGAGAAGGGACCTTCTGGTCTTCCCTGTGTGCAGACTCTGCTGTAGCGTATGCTTAGTCACACAAATGGGTTCCAGTACTTTCTGAACATCAGATTCTGGTGTAGATTTCCATTGTATAAGTCAAACAATGTTCTGGCGCTGGATCATAGGCGAGAGCATGGCAGAAGTCACCCCCAACACACGCTCTGTTATACCCTAGGTATGGGGTCAGACATGGGGTCAGTCAGGCATTTCCACAGTTTGCTTGCTGTCTAGATGAAGGGGTAGAAACCCTGGACTTTATAATGAATCGTTTCTGGGCCTTCTGTCTAAGGACCAGGAGAGCTCCCCATCCCTCTTCTGGGAATGGGACCAGCTCTGGGTGGGCCTGCTGCCTGTGTTGCCTGTTTCTCAGGGACTCAAGTGGACCTGGGGAGGCTAAGTGGGGCCTGTCCTTGGTTGTTCTGCTCAGCTTGGGAAGTAATGAGCAGGTCTCTGTGGGTGTGGAACTTGCTGGGTGGGATGTCTAGGAAGCTTCAGGCTAGCCCCACTCCCAGGGTTAAAGTGCACTGAGCCCTGTAGCCCAGCATGGGTACATTCATATACGTGTGTGTGCATGCACCCTCCCTCCACACACACTCTTCCCTTTTTCTCAGGTGACTTTTACACTTAGTTCCCTAGTTGTAGCTTACCATTCAAGACCTCCCACCTTGGCAGGATCCTGGATTATATCCACAGCCCCACAATTCAGGCTGGGGGTGCTGGAGGAAACACTTGGATTTGGTTTGAGAAGTCAGTTTGGCTGAAACTTGAATTCACCTAAAGTTAGATGTCTTAAAACCGGTTCACTGAAAACTTGGTCGTTCAGCTCGCTTGAGGACAGGTTGCCAAAAGCTCGTTCCTTGAGAGTGCTTTTATATCCACCTGAGCGTTCTAGTCTTTGTATCACTCCTTGAGTATTTCAGTGATTTCTGTTTGTCAACAGTACTTCAGAGTCATTAACAACATAAATTTATCAGATTCGTAGCACTTTGTAAATGATGACATTGCTTCTTACCTTTATGGCTGTCTTTCCCTATGTTATCTACTTTTCAAACACTTTTTAAAAAGTTTAAAAGTTTCTAGCAATAAATACAATTGGTTCAGATGTTTTCTGCATTATTTCTTCATTCAATATTTGTTTATAAATTACTTGTCTTCAAAATGTAATGGAGTTCAGTATGATTTTGATGCTTTCTCCTGATTTCCACATTCCTATTGTTAAAATGCATGGTGGCTCACACCTTTAGTCCTAGCACCTGGGAGGCAGAGGCAGGTGGATCTGTGAGTTCAAGGCCAGCTAGGGCTACAGGGAGACCCTGTCTCAAAAAGACAAAAAAAAAAAAAAAACACATAGAAAACAAACTCCACATATGCAGACAAAACACACTTATAAAATAAAAATAAAATTTTAAAAAATGCAATTGTATCATAAACAAGTGACAGTCTGGAAATGACTGACTTCCTGAGAACATAACGCCCACCCTGAGGATCATAATAAGATGTCAACAATTCTGAGTGAGGAAGAGAGCAGATTTCATACAGTACCTGATGAAGGAAACGTATTTTTTGAGAGAGACTTGTCCTGAAATTGGACTGCTTGTTCCAGTGCGGAGACTGCTCCCTCTAAACTGTTATTAAATGAAAGAATACAAAGACCCTGGAAGGTTTCAGCAGGCTGCTCAAGCTGGGGATTTAGAGGAATGGACTGACAGAAGAGAACCCCATCTGCACAGGCCCCCAGTGAGCCTTGCCTCTGCTGAGAGTGCCCTTCACCGTTTGCAATTGCTGATGGTTCAGGAGATGGTTTGAGAATACAGCAAGAGGTAGGCCGTGTTTGGTCAGCTTGCCACCCAGTGTTTACCAATAGCTAACAGCACTGGGATGGAAAAAGAGGAAGAAGGTAAGAAATTAGGATCCCTCTGTCTAGATGAAAATCAAAGACAGGGGTTTGACTTTAGCTCTTTGTTCTGAATAACTCTGGTCCCCAAGGGCTTTAATACTATCAAGAATAAGATTGTGGAAAAAAAAAAAAAAAAAGATGGGGGTGCTGGGTGTGGTACCTTTAGGTGCCTCAGGAGGCAGAGACAAGGATCTCTGTAAGATCAAGGCCAGCCTGGTCTACATAGTGAGACCCTGTCTCAAACCAAGTAAATGAACTGTAGAAATGGTTAAACTGTTAAGAGCACTGACTACTTTTGCAGAGGACCTGGATTTGGTTACCAGTACCACATACAGCTAACAACTGTCGGTTACTCTAGTTCTGGGGAATTCAACACTTCTGGCCCCTGCAGGCATTGCACATGTGGTGCTCTTAAATACATGCAGCAAACTACTAATATACATGAAATAAAAATTTTTTAAATATTTTATTATTTTTATTTTATGTATATGTGTGTATTGCCTGCATATAGGCAAGTGTACCTGTGTCATGCAATGCCCGTGGATGACAGAAGAGGCTGTCGGATCCCCTGGAACTGGAGTTACGGACAGTTGTTAGCTGCCATGTGGGTGCTGGGATTCGAGCTTTGGTCTTCTGCAAGAACAATGTTCTTAACCGCTGAGCCATCATCTCACCAGCTCCTGAAATAAAAAATTTAAAAACAAAAATAACAAAAGAGTGAGAATAAAGCTGGGAACTGGGCCTCTTGGCTCGTGCCTGTGCTCTCAGCATTCAGGAGGGAGGTAGAGAAGGGTCAAAAGTTGGAGGCCAGGGGCTGGAGAGATGCCTTAGCAGTTAAGAGCATTTACTTCTCTTGCAGAGGACCCAACTTGGTTTCTAGCACCTACTCTGGGCAGCTCACAAACCACTTGTAACTCCAGCTTTGGGAGATCTGACATCTTCTTCTGGAGGCTAAATGCACCTACACTCGTGCACATACTGCACACAGAGACACATATACACATAATTAAAAACCTTTAAAAGTTTGAAGCCGGCACTGAAGAGAAGGCTCAGCAGTTAAGAGCACTGGCTGCTCTTGCCAGAGGACCCAGGATTGATTCCTAGCACCCACATGACAGTTAACAACCACGCATAACTCCAGTTCCAGGGGATCCTATGCCCTCTTCTGTCCTCTTCAGGCATTGCATGACAGGGGTGCACCTACGTACATGCAGGCAATACACTCATACACACAACATAAAAATTTTATTATTTTTTTCGGTCTTTTTGAGACAGGGTCTCCCTGTAGCCCCGCTGTCCTGGAACTCACTATGTAGACCAGGCTGGCCTTGAACTCACAGAGATCCGCCTGCCTCTGCCTCCCAACGTGCTGGGATTAAAGGTGTGCGCCACCACACCTGGCTAAAAATTATTTTTTTTAAAAAAGACTTTGAAGCCAGCTTGGGCTATATGAGACCCTATTTTTAAACAAACAACAAGCAAACCAGTAAGATGAGAATGAGGATGTAGCTCAGTATAGTGCTTGATTAATACACAAAGCCCTGGGTTCAATCTCTTAACACCTCATAAAATGGGCAGAGTGGTACATCCTTAGAATCCCAACACTCAGAAGAGGCGGCAGAAGCATCAGAGGTTCAAAGTCATCATCAGCTAGAGAGTGAGTTTGAGGCCCGCCTGTCTGAACAACAACAAAAAATTCCTCTGGGATCTGGCATAGTGGCACACACCTGTTAATTCCAGCACTGGAGGATCAAAAGTTTGAGGTCAACCTGGGCCACCTAGTGAGCTGCTACCTCAGGAAAAAAGTAATACTAATAAGGTTGATGGCTAGGGATGTAGCTCAATGATAGAGCCCTTGCGCGTGCCCCAAGCCCTGGGTTTGATCCTTAGCACTGAAAAATAAATGTTTTCCAAGTTAGGATGGTATTGTAGTTTGCTTTCTGTTACTGTGATAAATGCAATGACCAAAAGCAATGATGAGGAAAGGGTTTACTTTACCTTACAGGTATAGTCCATCATCAACGGAAGCCAAGGCAGGAACCTGGAGCAGGAACTGAAGCGGAGACCATGAAGGAACATTATTTACTGGCTAGCCTACACCCCTGGCCTCCTCGGCTACCTTTCTTACACAGCCCAGGCCCACCTGCCTGGGGATGGCACTGTCCGCAGTGGGCAGGGCTCTCACATAAATTAGCAGTTATTAAAATGCTTCACTGGGAGCTGGAGAGATGGTTTAGGGGTAGCACTGGCTACTCTTGCAGGGGACCCATGTTCAGTTCCCAGCAAGCATGTGGCAGCTAACAACTGTAATTCCTGTATCAGGGTCTCTGATGTCTTCTGGCATTGGAGGGCATTGTACAGCACTGGTGCACTTAACACATGCAGACAAAATGCTTGTACACTTAAAATTTTAAAATTTAAAATAAAAACTGGGCATGGTGGTGCATGCCTTTAGTCCCAGCACTTGAGAGGCAGAGGGAAGTGGATCTCTGTGAGTTCAAGGCCAGCCTGGTCTACATAGTGAGTTCCAGGGTCAGCTGGGGCTACAGGGAGACCCTGTCTCAAAAAGACCAAAATAAAAAAAAGTCACAAAGGCCATTCCAATGAAGGAAATTCCCCAGTGCATTCCATCTTCCCCCGTGTGTCACATGGACTACTGAAGCTAACTGTGACAGATGGCTTTTTCTTTCTCTTTAGAGAGTCTTGACTTTTGCCTTCTGGAGCTCTTGAATCAGAAAAAGGGTAAAAATACATTTATAATCAGACAGGTTCAGGAGATAGAGTAAGACTATTTCTAAACACATAAAGCAAGTTGCATGAAGTCCTTCAGATTGTACATGTTCTAGTTTGTCTTTTCATTGCTGTGACAAAATACTACCAGCTTGGGGAGGAAAGGGTTTATTTGTCTTACATCTCCCAGGTCACAGTTCATCAGGGAGCCAAAGCTAGGAACTCCAGGCAGGAACCTGGAGTCAGGAGCTGGAGCACAGACCATGGAGGAATGCTGCTTACTGGCTTGCTCCCCTGGCCCCTGCTCAGCCTGCTTTTTTTTTTTTTTTTTTTGGTCTTTTTGAGACAGGGTCTCCCTGTAGCCCCAGCTGTCCTGGAATTCACTATGTAGACCCCCAGGCTGGCCTCGAACGCACAGAGATCTGCCTGCCTCTGCCTCCCAAGTGCTGGGACTACAGGCATGAACTACCATGCCCGGCTTTCAGCCTGCTTTCTTATCCAACACAGGCCCACCTGCCCAGGGGTGGCACCACCCACAGTGGGCTGGGCCCTCCCACATCACTCATCAAGAAGATGCCCCTCAGACATGGCCACAGGCCAGTTCAATGGAGGCAATTCCCCGATTGAGGATCCCTCAACCCAGGTGTGTCAAGTTGACACTAATGCTATCCAGCACAACATTTAAACAAAAAGAAAGCATCTAGGCATGTGCATACTTTTAATCCCAGCACTTGGGAGGCAGAGGCAGGTGTATCTCTATGAGTTCCAGTCCAGCCTGGTCTACATAGTGAGTGCCAGGCCAGCCAGAAATACACAGTGAGACCCTGTCTCAAAAAAAACAACAAAAGAAAATTTAAATTAAAATATTTTTTAAAGCACTAGGACTAAAATTAAAAAATTGAAAAAATCCAGGTAAGCCAAAACTTTTTTTTTTTTTTGGTCTTTTTGACACAGGGTCTCCCTGTAGCCCCAGCTGCCCTGGAACTCACTATGTGGACCAAGCTGGCCTTGGCCTTGAACTCACCGAGGCCTGCCTCTGCCTCCCAAGTGCTGGGAATAAAGGTGTGCACCACCACGCCCGGCCAAAACCTTTTTTCAAAATTTATGTGTATATGTATACCACACGTGTGTGTGTGTGTGTGTGTGTGTGTGTGTGTGTGTGTGGCCAGAAGAGGGCATCTATCCCCTGGAGTTAGAGTTACAGGCAGTTGTGAGCCATCTGATGTGGGTGTTGGGAGCTGAGCTTTGGTCCTTTGCAAGAACAGCAAGAATTTGTAACCACTGAGCTATTTCTGTAGCCCTCCAAAACATTTTTATTTAGTCTTGAGTCTCTGAAGCACCCATACTCAAAAGCTAGCTTGGGTCAAAGTCCCTGTGGTAAGGCTCCATAAGGATCTGAGCAGTATCAGTTCTCTCTGTCCTGTCTGTCCGCTCTTGCTTTGCAGATGGGTATCTGCTATGTCAATCATAAAGGG